GGAATCGAACTCGGGTCGGCCATGTTGGCTGCATGCAAGGCAAACGCCCTACCCGCTGTGTTAGAGGTTCAGATAATATTTATAAGCCAACAATTCCAAATAAATGAATGAGCAAGCTGTTGTATTCTCTTTTGCCTTGGTTTGTTGATAGAGAGAGATAAAGAGATGGATAGATAGATTCTTGTTTTTCAAACTTAGATACAGATTATCTTGGACATGAATTAAACAATCAAAAAACATATAGGTCTGGTGAACTACTAGGTTTTGGAATCACTGGGAAGCAATATTGGATTAGACTTATCCTAAGTCAAACTGATTTCTTCAGTAGGCTATTGCTGCTGTGTTTGAATTTACCAAAGGTATCACTGCACACTACCAAAAATATACATTTTATATTTATATGTGCATTTAAATAATGCTTGTGATATATGTACATGCTAAACTGATAATGTGGTGTGTGTGTGTGTGTGTGTGTGTGTGTGTGTGTGTGTGTTTCCATCTGCAAATATGCACCTATCTACATACTGTGTAGGTATGACTGAGGACTTCCCAGGGAAGGTCAAGCTGGTATCATGCATAAAGATGGAGCTAGGATCTCTCAGCTGGGCCAGTGTTTACAGAGTCTGTGGCTTTTTGCTGCCTGGCCTCTTCATCTGGCGGTTGGTCTTAATCCTTTGCTGCAAGTAGCAGCCTTATTTCTCATGGCTGGTTGCCACGTGGTATGTCGGTTGTTGCTCACAGCAGTTCAGAGCCATGCCACAGGGTTGAAACTGGGCACTGGGAGTTTCTACAAGAATTTCTTTAGCCCTCACTATTTGAGTTTGGTCTGTTTCAACAAACTCACCTAGCTGCTTACAGGTCTCCCTGTACCTGAGACTTAAAGAGCCCTAGTAATTGACTTCTGACTTAAGTTTCAGTTACTGCATTCTTTGTGAGCATATCCATTTGATGCTGTAGGTGCCATAGACACAGTATCTAGTAAGTACATTTTTTAAGAGCTTAGAGAAGAGGCCAGTGACCAGAGTAAAGCATGACTACAATATGGGGAAGAAAAGGCCCTCCTGTTGATCGTCGATTTGCTCGAGCGGGCCCAGTAACGTCTCCATTGGAGACTTTGTTGTTACTGTGTCTGGCATATCGAATACTCTCGGTAGCTTGCCGGGCTCTCTGAGAGGGGCAGAGGAATCGAACTCGGGTCGGCCATGTTGGCCGCTTGTAAGGCAAACGCCCTACCCGCTGTGCTATCACTCCAGCCCATACCCCCCCCCCCCGAGAGTATGGGGAAGAAAAATGAAGATAAATCAATATTTAACAAAATGTCTATCAAATAATATGCCTTGCCAACTTCAGGCATAGTAAAAAGTTAGTGTTTTTTAAAGCAGTGATTTTAAAGGCAGGGTTTTGGTTAGGCTGCTACTTATTAGTCAATCATAGCTTAATAATTTCCTACAAGCCAAAAAATGTTTTCGAAAACAAATTATAGAGATCCTTTCAGGTTGTCAGAGCAAAAAAATAATTTTAATGTGGGTTGTGGGTACATATTAATATTTTGAGGTGAATATCTCAAAAAAGATTTAAAAAATACCTAGAGTCACTCATTAAAAGGCATCGCTGTATGTGGGTGGCTGATTTCTTTAACACTTAAAAATGAATTTGTTAATTTAAGTGAATTCCTACATTATACTTATCACTTAATCTTCCTTTTCCAAATATTCACTATGTTTTACTTAATTAAGGGATTCTGCTTTTTGTGAGGCAGTTTCACCCACAAGCACATGGATTCTATGACATGAAAGAGAAAATTTTAGATATAGAACTATTCAAGGAAAATGCAAACACACATTTAGCTGTCAAAGGTTGAAAACGATTCATTGAGCTTTGCTTAAGGAGAAACTGGAACACAATGCTGGAATTTTCTAATTATTTTTCCCAGTAAATGCAGATAGGTAAAGGTAAAGGTAAAGGCCCTCCCGTTGATCGTCGATTTGCTCGAGCGGGCCCAGTAACGTCTCCATTGGAGACTTTGTGGTTACTGTGTCTGGCATATCGAATACTCTCGGTAGCTTGCCGGGCTCTCCGAGAGGGGCGGAGGAATCGAACTCGGGTCGGCCATGTTGGCCGCTTGTAAGGCGAACGCCCTACCCGCTGTGCTATCGCTCCAGCCCTGTGCATTTTTACTTTTCATCAAATGTACTGTTTTTATATAAAAATATACTGCCTTTGTCACTTACCTGAGATGAAGGGGTGAGAAAGGCATGTGAGCCCGCAAAGGGTTAACTTGCTTGCTAAGGCTGGACCCAAGGGCCATGCTCCTGACCTAGACAAATGCAGTAGATCCATCCTAGATCCTGAGTTTCAAGATCCACATCTTGTGTGCAGTTTACCTTCTCTCTCCACACCTAGGTAGGCAGTCTTCTTCACAACCCCATGAAACGCTCTGGTTCACCATGAAACCACAGTGCTTTTCGTTTTCCTTATCATGGTCATTTTCTTCAAGCTGTTAAATTTCATCAAAATTGTAAATTCCTTGCAAAAAGTATTTCTTATTTATCGTTATTGCCACAATGGCAGATACCAATCCTGTAGAGTTCTGCCAGATTTTTTAATAGCACAACAAATGTGAAGCTGGCCAATAAAACTTTTTCAGAGTTTAGTTTGCTCCTATGATTCCTACGTTGAAAAATAAAACCGTATGATAAAAAATGTGATTTTTTTCAATTTTCTAGTTATTTAGAGAGAAAATGACTTTGCATTTCTAAAAGGGTACTGATATTTATTTAGTCGAACCATTGTAGCAAGTTGCAATAATGTGTGTGGTGAGTGAACTTTAATTTGAAATGATGGGGACAGGTCATTCACAGTCATTTTTAAGCATGTTTTTTTTTAATTTATGTCAGAAGTATTTATCAGAGTCTGTGAAAGGAAATATTGGAGTCAAATGCACCATAGAGGAAGCTATTGGCATCTTGATCAGATTCTCTTTACCTAGCAGAAGGACCCCATGCCCTTAGATGTTATAACAACTCACAGCTGCCCTTTCCATCGAAAACTACCCTTGAGCACCTTGGCCACTGATAAAATATATGGGTGTATAAAATCTCATTGGGGCCCATTCTATAGGGAAACTCACATGAGAGCAACCAGTGGGATCTGGCCGAGATCAAACTTCTTCACAAAACAATTCACTCCATAATTTCTTCCCCTGCCTGCCTCAAGAGCTGGGGGAGAAGGCAGCTGGGATAGAGAAGGGATCACTAAGTCAGTGATGATTGGAGGGATCGCTCAGGATGGGAGATGTATGCTGAAAGTAGGTAAAGGACCAAACATGATGACCTCTCAGAAGACCCTAAAATCTCAGTGACATACACGGTCGCATGAAGTTTTTTAAAAGTAAATGTACATTTTTTTTTTGCTGACAATTCAACTCTGATAATACAACAGGGGAAGAAGATGGTAGGGCTAACTGCCATAGCAGAGTCATTTAGAAACTCGAGAGTTTTCCATCTTGAGATAATCCTCTGAAAAATATGACTTGGAAAGTTTCTGCAGAAGGGAAAAGAAAGTGGAGAATTACTCATGGGAAATCTTTACAAGGCAGAACTGTAACTGGCCACTTTCCACAGTCCAGCCATGTGGCCCCAGTCCAATTCCAAAGAAGACTGGGAGACCGTCTTTCAGGTGGCCCGGCAGAAAAGGACAAACACAAATGCTCTGCCTTGTCTACTTGTGGGTTTAGTATTCAGGCGTGGCGTGGCACAGGGTCTTTGCTCATCAAGGCTCCTCTCTCGACCCTTCTCATGTCACCTATCAGTCTCTCTCAATCTCACCCCATTTCCCTTCCTCAGCCACTCTAGTCTTCACTTAATCTTTAATCTGATACCTCAAGACAGGGAGAGATAAAACTTTCATGGGGGTGAGGAGCTCCAAGAAGATGAATTTTTTTATGAGCAAAGTGAGTGGGAAGAATCATGCCCTGGAAAAGTGGCATGGATTTCAGAGAGGCAGTGTGAGAGGAGTGAGGCAGCCAGGAGATGCTGAAAGTTACTCTGAGATGGAATGAATTAGTATGATAGGAGATGAATCCCAAGATGTAAAGCCTATTTCTGCATGTAGTAGAAAGTGATGGTTGAAACAAAATTTTATGGACCTATTATAAAACTTATGTTGAAAATCTCGTCACCCTTTGAGCTATAATAGACCTTCTATTATTAAGATCTACTTCTGTTCCTGGTGCTAAAGCAATAGTATAGTGGCCAATGGGCTTGCCTTGCGCATGGCTGACAGGTTTGATGCCTTAAACCTCCAATGGTCCCCTGAGCACTGTCAGAAGTGATCTCTGACCACAGAGCTATGAGTAAGCCCTGAGCACCTCCAAGTATGCACCTGGACGCCCCTCCCCCCAAAATGTCATTCAAGATGTTGTATTTTTAATATGCTTCATCTCTTCCCTCATTAAATGCTTAATCTCTTCCCTCGTATTACTAGAAGCAAACATAAACCCATTTGTTTGCCCCAGATTTGCACTTAACAATCCCACGACTGTTAATGCTGCGTTATTTCAGAAGAAAATGCCCTACTCATATTTTTTCAGACTTCACCTAAAGAATTTCAGATATTTTAATGCTCCTAAATTGGTAAGAGTTACCTATAGTCAAGATTTTATATTTCAGCCTCTCTTAGGTTCTGACAGTTCTTCTCTTTCTTTGTCTAATGATTAATCACCAGAAATTGATTTCCATTCTCATTTGTTATGCTTTCTGGAAATAATTTTTTAAGTTAATAAGTGGCATTTCTTACACTTACACTCTTGTACTGGACATTTAGGAGAGCCAACAGACACAAGGTCTTGCCAATGACAGTTCCCACAAAGAGTTTGAAAGCAAAGAATGCTTGGGTGTGCAGAGAAGGTGACAGGACTCAGTCCTACCAAATTAAATGTACAAAGTCTGAAGGTCAAACAAAGCAACTATATACTGATGTATTATGTTTCTTTACCCTAGGGCTTTCCAGGAAAGGAAGGATCTTCTGGCCCTCCAGGCCCACCAGGGCCAATTGTGAGTATTTCCATAAATGACTGGGATGATCTGTTCTTTGTCTTTTGGGGTGTGTGTGTGTGTGTGTGTGTGTGTGTGTGTGTGTGTTGGTGGGGGCAGGCGGTTAGGCGGTGGTGTCACATCAAGAAATGCTCAGGGGTTACTCCTGGCTCTAAACTCAGGAATTACACCCTGCAGTGCTCGAGAGATTGTATGAAATGCCAGGAATCAAACCTAGGTCAGCCACTTGCAGGGCAAACCCCTACCTGCTGTATTATCGTTCTAGCCCTGATGAGCTGTTCTTTGATGTATTTATTTTCATTCAAGAGATTTCTCTTTTGCTAGACCTTTCACTTCCACTGTCCTATTTACTAAGAGAAACGGTTCATCTCTTGATGCTGAGTTCTTCCTAAAACATCCTTTTCAGAACATAACCTGGTGGGCCAAAGAGATAGTACAGTGGGGAGGGTACTTACCTTGCACATGGCTGATCCCAGTTTGATCTGCAGCACTGCAAAAGGTCTCCTGAGAACTGCCTGAAGTGATTCCTGAGCACAGAGCCAGAATAAGACCTCCAAACAAACGAAAAAAAGTATATCCTAGGAGCTAGGGTATAGTTGAGTTGCTGAGCACTTGCTTTGCATGTGTGATGCCCCAACTTTGATCCCTGACACTCCAAAAAAGTAAAAAATGAAAATAATCTATTTATGTCATTTGAAAATTTGTCTCTAAGCCATTTTACCATAAGATCACCTGTATTGATTTAGTTTTTGTCAGACACATTTCTTGAATTTAGAGGGGGGAAAAAACCCCAAAATTAGAGCTAAACTGACAGCATGGAGACTTCTAAACTGATGTTACACCTATTCTTTTGATCATGGGGAACAAGAATAAGTAATGACTTCGGAAGTCTTATTGTTGAAGGTTTGGGGGAGGGGGAAGTGATCCCTGAGTGTGTGTGTGTGTGTTGTACCTTCTTGACACCTGATGTCTTCCAGGAGTCTGTGTGAATTTTCACCTTTATCCCATTTTCTTGCCTCTTCATTAGGGCATTCCTGGAGCTCCTGGAATCCCCGGGATCACAGGAAGTGTGGGTCCCCAAGGCTCCCTGGGACCACCTGTGAGTATGCCACAATAGCCACTCCATTGTACCATTTATTTCTGTGTTTTAATTTGCAAGGATCTCTGGTAGTTCAAACAATCTCTGGAAATCTAGAGAGAAACCCAGAGAAGCTCCTAGGATAAAATAAAGCTCAAACTCCTCTTTTGTCATGAATAAAGACAAATGATGCCATCAGGAGATAAACAGAAATGTTTCTGCCTGTGAAGTTTTCAATTATTTGTAATTTTAACAGTCTGGCTCAGTAAACTCAGTACCGTATTTATCGAGATCGAGTACAATAACTATGTATTAATTAAGCCTGACTCAAAGGTGAAAAAATTACAGACCTAAGAACTTCAAGGATTATTGAAGATGAGAATAAAATTTTCTTTCCTAAATTCTATTTTTAAAAAAAAGTTTCCATTTGGGGCTGGAGCAATAGCACAGCGGGTAGGGCATTTGCCTTGCACATGGCTGACCCAGGTTCTATTCCCAGCATCCCATATGGTTCCCAGAGCACTTCCAGGAGTAATTCCTGAGTTCAGAGCCAGGAGTAATTCCTGTACATCACTGGATATGACCCAAAAAGCAAAAAAACAAAAAAACAGTTTCCATTAAATCACATTTACACATAAGCAAAAACAGATGGAAATAAAAGCATAAGAAAAAGTACCAATTACACACCACCACCACCACCACTGCCCCACGTATGTTTTTTTGTTTGTTTGTTTGTTTGTTTTGCTTCCAGTCTCTTAAGCTGGTATTTATTTATTTATTTATTTTTTTATAGATCATTCAAGGTTTTTTTTTTATTTATTTTTTTTACAGTTGTAGATTTACAATTTTTTTTGTGCTTGGGTTTCAATTATACAATGATCAGATACCCATCCCTCCACCAGTGCCCGTTTTTCACCACCATGGATAATATCCCTCCCACCCCCATCCCCCCATCCCCCCCTGCCTCTGTGGCAGGGCAATCCCCTGTGTTCTCTCTCTCCGTTTGGGTGTTGTGGTCTGCAAAAGAGGCATTGAGTGGCAAACATGTTCAGTCCATAGTCTACTTCGACATGCATCTCCCCTCCTGGGAGGATCCTCCAAACATCCTTTATTTGGTGCTCCCTTCTCTATCTGAACTGCCCTTTCCTCTAGGATACCCGGCTGGCCTCTAAGTTATGGGGTAATCCTCCTGGTGCTGATCTCATTAAGCTGGTATTTAAATGTGACAATGTAAGCTGTTATAAAGTAGGAGATGGCAGATAGAGAAGGGACCACCAAGTAAAGGGTTCTTGGAGTGCCCGTTCGAGATGGGAGAGGCGTGCTGTAAGTAGACTATACACCAAACATCATGGTCACTCAATACCTCTGTTGCAAACCACAACACCCAAAAGGAGAGAGAGAGAGAGAGCAAAAGGAATGCCCTGCCACAGAGGCAGGGTGGGGGTTGTGGGAGGGATACTGGGATTATTGATGGTGGAGAATGGGCACTGGTGGAGGGATTGGTACTCGATCATTGTATGACTGAAATGTAAGCAAGATAGTTTGTAAGTCTGTAACTGTACCTCACGGTGATTCAATAAGGAAAAAAGAAAGAAGTAGGAGATGGAAGAAATTTTTTTAAAAAAATGAAACCCCTGGGTGTGTTTCCTCATCTGTTCGGTGAAATAGTTGCATTATAAGTTTCCCAAGGCCACATTTGGTGGTGCCTATTCTTCATAGGAGTGAGTATTTGTCAGAATTCTGATATATATAGTGATATATTTAGCCTGAATCAGTGAACTTGAGAAACAGGTGTAGAGATTTGTATATTATTGCAAGCTTTCTAAAAGTTTGGAGTAAAATCTGAAGGGTAAAAGGAAAGGAGGTTAAGAACTTTATTCCCATCATTGTCATAACAAATTACTACAATCTCCATGCTTATAGAAACCTAGATTTATTTTCCTATAGCTCTATGGGTCAGAGGCAAAGAGAGATCTGGCTAGGTTATAATCAAGATATTGGCATTTCCATTTTGTAGGTTCCAGGGTAATTTCCTTCTCTGGCTTCTAATGACCACCCTGTTCTTTGGTTGGGGACTTATTGTCATTTCCCTCATCAAAGCATATCCCTGACCATCCTTCTCTCATCTCCTTCTCTGAACAAAGGCAGATAGGAGTGGGAGGAGGTGAGGAACCTATGTGATTGCATTCATGTCACCCAAATCATTCTAGAAAATCGTTTTTTTCTCTTTTTATTCAGTCTTTGGGTCACACCTGGTGATATTCAGGGGTCAGTCCTGGTTCTGTACTCAGGAGTTACTCCTGGCAGTGTTTGGGAGACCATATGGGATTCTGGAAATCGAACCTGGGTTGGGTACATACAAGGCAAATGCCTTATCCTCTGTACTATCTCTTCAGCCCCAATCCTGTATAATCTAACATAGCATACAATTTCTTAACAAAGTTACATTTTAAAGTTTCTTTTACCACCTAAAATAAAATACCACAGGTTTTAAGGATCCAAGAATAGAGAGGTAGGTAGTAGTGGTCGGGAGAGGGTGATTTTTCTCTGCTAAAGCCATGAACAGACCTAATGGACAGATTATTCCTCCTTCAGAAAGACACCTTCAACATCTAGATATCCATGTTCTACTTTACTCTTGAAACTCATGTTGGTAAAACTATCATCCTCAATGTCCTTTTCTAGAGTATTATACGAGGTCTTAGTAGTTTTTTTTTTCTTTTTGGGTCACACCCAGTGATGCACAATACACAGGGGTTAATCCTGACTTTTTGTGTCAGGTATCACTCCTAGTGGTGCTCAAGGGACCAGATAGGATGCTGAGAATCGAACCCAGGTCAGCCGTATGCAAGGCAAGCACCCTACCTATTGTACTATTGCTCCAGCCCCCAGTGTTTACAATTATTCTCATTTTTGTGAACTCAGCATGGTATGCTGGGGATTAAACCTGGGTTGGCCACATACAAGGAAACCCTTCTTTGCTATAAAATTTCTCCAGCCCTTATAGCTTCTCTTTTTAAATAAATTTAGTAGTAGTTCACAGAAGAAAATTTGCGCACATTTAAAATAGAATCCCAAATGCTATCACTACATATGAGCATGTGCCTGGAAATATACACTGATTACCATACTTGTGGACACAGACCCGCAACACACACACACACACACACACACACACACACACACACCTGTTTCTAGCACTCTTTGACTTCAAGTTCAGCTATTCATTCAGTTCTAGGCTTGAAGAAATATTTAAAACCATTATCTTTGATGCCAGGTTTCAGTTTACTTCCCAAAATGTGTTCATAAGGACAGAAATTCCAGAATATATTAGCTGTGTTCAGTTAACAATAGGTTTGGTTTAAAAAAAAGAATCAGAGAGGGCTAAAAAGGTAGGACAATGCTTTCCTTACACACACCAACTCTGATTTGCTCTGAGCCAGCACTGAGCTCTGAGCACTGCCAGATGTGACCCAACACCCTCTCCCCACACAAAAAAAAAGCATCAGAGAGAGTTATTACTAAATCTTTTTCTTATAAATTTATAAGAGAGTTTAGACCATCAAAGACATTGAAGCATTTTGAAGTGAAACAGGAAAAATTTAAATTTGGTTAGATAATTGGCAGATGTGGGCATGAGAAAGAGCTCAAAGGACTGAGCGCGTGCTTCACATCCAGGACTCCACGTTCCATCACCAGCACTGAATGGGCCTCTGAACTCAGCCAGGAGTCACCTCCCAACAGGCCAGGTGTGATCCCAAAACAAACAAAACAAATGGGCAAATTTATTTGTGCATGTGGCCGCCTTGTCTTTTGAACTCATTTTTAAAGCTCTTTGCCGTTTTTCTTTCTTAACCTCTTAATGTACTTATTTTTAAATAATGTGATTTATAGCAGAATCCCTATGAATGTTTCAGTTATAAAATGTTACTGTACCACACCTGCCACCTGAGTGTCAATATCTCCCCAGCCCTATTTGCACTCTGACAAGCAGCTCCTAAAACATGATGGCCTTAATTCAGGCTGGGCTAATCCTGTTCCAGGAGGGATGGATGGGGACCTTGGGAGAGGACAGTGGCGGGGTTGAGAAAAGACATAAGACATGAAGTATAGTAATAAGTAAGTCCCGGTCTAGGCACCTTTTCTAGATTCAACACTATATAGGGGGTGTACAGAGCCAATCAAATACCACTACTCCCCCTCTCATGTTAAACACATATTAACACTATTATCTCCAGGCTGGAGTGATAGCACAGCGGGTAGGGGGTTTGCCTTGCACGCGGCTGACCCGGGTTTGATTCCTCCGTCCCTCTCGGAGAGCCTGGCAAGCTACTGAGAGTATCCACCCCCCACCCCACCCCCCACCCCGCACGGCAGAGCCAAGTAAGCTCTCCGTGGTGTATTCAATATGCCAAAAACAGTTAACAACAAGTCTCACAATGGAAACGTTATGGTGCCCGCTCGAGCAAATCAATGAACAACGGGAGGACAGTGCTACAGAGCTACAGTGTTATAAATCAGCAACAAAGGGCCCTGTGGGTAGCATGAAGGGCCCCAGTGCCGCTGGCACTTTGATCTGAGGCAGAAACCATTTGGCTAGTGGGCACCGGGCAGGGATGCGACAGGAGGCTTTGGGCCTCTTTTCAAAAGCTGGTTGTTCTCTGAAATGTTGAGCTCAGACTCTGCCTTGTGCTTTGGGCTGGGAGCGACCAGATGCCTGCAGCTGCCACACTGGCGTGACTCGTGAGGCCGGCCCCAAGCCACGGTGTGAAGGCCCTGATTGATTTCCCATGGATGTCTGTCTAGGAAGGCAGGTGGGAACGAGACCAAGAGAGACAGACTGGCCCCGTGAAAATAGCAACGTTTCCTACTGCTGGTGCCAGGAACCTTCGCGTTCCTGCTCTGCTTTCAGCCGCCAGCTTCCCAGGGCCTGTTGGACATCGCTGCTGTGGTCAGAATAGTAACGAAGCTGGTGGAAGAGGCAGCTTCATGCTGCTCGGGTCAAAGGTTTGGCTCTCTAG